TACCTGTATTTCATCTTGAATAGTTTAAAAGCTGCAGGTTTCATTTTGATTCTGTTTCCAAAAAATGTTAGGTTTTAGAATTATAAAACTTTTTACAGACCAAGAAATGATGACAGCAGATATTTAAGTTACTCTGAGAAATGTGGCAGACAGGAAGATTAATTGCAAATATAGGTTAAAATATGAATACACTCCAAATCAAACATGATGCTCTCTATGAATACTTTTCCAGATATTGAGATTTGGGGACACGAATCCTTATCTTAACAAGAAGCCATGGGCAATGAAAGAAAAGAAAGTTTGTGTCCAGGAACCATGAAAGATGAACAGCAACCAGACTGATGTTATGTAACTGATACCTAGATTTTTTAAAGAATATTTGGGATTGGATTTTGGAGGTCACTTTCAATATGACATTCCACAATATAAGTAACATGACTTATAGGTCATGTGATCAAATTCAGGCACTTGGCAACTGATGGATATTTATGATGGCTGTAGTGTTCTGGGGTCATAAGATCGCCATCTGTGACCTTCCCAGATGGCTTCTAACAAGGAAAGTCAATGTGGGAAGCCAGATTCACTTAACAGCCACGATTCGCTTAACAATCACAGTGATTCATTTAGCAACCATTGCAAAAAAAGGAAATCAAATTGAGCGCAACTCACTTAGCAACTGCCTTGCTTAGAAATTCTGGTCCCAAATATTTGAGGACTATCTGTATTTTACATTTTTAATACAAAGATATTTCTATAATAAGAACCAAGAAGTTATATTTACCAATTAGCAGGATTTCTGAGAAACTTAGGAACATTTCACTGTCTCTGCCATATATTGTTGCTAACACATGATCACTCTCTATGTAGCAAACAGGTAATGTGATTTCATTAATGTATTTTAATATTACATCTAAATCATTATTAATAACTCACACAAACCTTAAGTAGAGGCAGTCCCCGGATTAAGAACATCTGAATTGTAGACAACTCGTACTTACAAATGGGCTGCCTGTTACTAAAAATGGCAGATGGCATTCTCCTTCCTTGAGCCAACAAACTACTGTAACTGCATAGTGTTTCCATGAACTACTGATGCAGAGGAAAGAGAATGCCATCTGCTATTTTTAGTAACAGGCAGCCCATTTGTAAGTGTGACTTCTGACTCTTACATACAAATTTGAGTTAGACAGATGGAGGAACAGAAATCATTCTTAACCCTGGGACTTTCTGTATTAATTATCTGAATTAACTCAAGACAGCTCAGGTCATCAAGTTCCCCACTAAAAATGACAGTGATTCAGTTTATTGATATCTTAGAAGAATGCTTTCAATTATCAAGATGTGACTCATTAATACCACACTACTGAAACATATACTGTATTTTTATGGCACCAGTATTAGTTTTTCTGGATCCATATCTTAGTAATAGCATAATGCTATGACAAAAATAACCTTGTTCTTCAGTAACTACCTCAACATTCAACAGGAAAAATATTTGAAAGTTTTTCAATGCCATTCTGCAGAGACTAACAAAAGGAACAGAAAAAACAATAGTTAAGTCATATGATAATTACAGAAAGACTTCCAAGTACTTAGAGATTTTACTGAAAAAGCTTCCAGACTTGCTTTTGACAATTCTGGAGAACATCCAAATAGATTTTTCTGCTCAGATAAAATTCAGAAGAGGTGATTCAGGGGAGGTTCACTCATTCCTGATTTAAACAATCTTACTTAGAACTGTAATACCACACCCTAAGCAACATTAAAGAACTATTCAGATTTACAGATATTGCTCTCGCTTCCTGACATATGTTGGACCATATGTATGTTTTCATGCCCAATCCCATTAAACGTCTCTTGCAGATTAAATACAATAAATGTTTTTTTTCCTTATAAAATAAATGTTATAAGGAGCATTTTAAATACTTTAGATTTATGCTAGATAGGCTATCTATGAATAGATATTTCCCCAGACTGCAAACTACTGACTAGAGCAGAGAGTTATGGTACATGTGAGCATACAAATAATGGATGAAAGAACATGAAGCCTCATAGATGACACCATAAGATATATAATCTGCCTCTGAATTTTAAAAATGAAAATAAGGAGAGCTAGTGAGCGATCAAATTTCAGCAAAAGAAACCACAATCACCTATGACTTTGCAAGGTTTCTCTTTAGTTTGCAAAACATATTTTGTTATCTAATTTTTCCAATAAATATACTTGTTTACTTTAGCAATCAGTGCATCAGAAAGTACATTTATACTCCTTTTGGATGCATCATAAGATCCTGTGGGCACACTCACCAGGATTCCTTCTTCTTAGGCTTTTTATGTGGAACAAAAGCACATTTGGTTCTTTTTGGCAAACTATCTTTGAATGAAAGGGACAGCAAACACATTTCCAATGGAAACGTGAGAGCTTCCGTAGCATTACATGTCTCGGGAACAGATGTACAAACAGCAAGTGATAAGTTACTTGCCTGCAGGTGTGAAAGCCTATGTCTGCTTAGAAATTGCTTCTACTGCACATATTTTGCAGACAAATGCCAAAATCAAATTATGATTTATTTAACAGAGTAAATCCTTGAATAATGAAAGGAAAAGGTGTCTATAAATACAGAATGTTGTTAAATATCAATATAAAGATGCTAAGCTGAGAGTTTACTTAGGCATTTCTCTTTCTGTTAATACCAGTATTATCCCCCATTTTCCATGCTATTTATGAAAATATAATAGTTAAAATGCTTAAGCTGTAGTTTTAGTCTTTTTCTTTGCACAAGATCTTTAATCAGAAAATACTTTTCATCTGCTTTACTGAATTTGGTATACAAGAACAAATCAAAACATATTAAAATAGAAAAGAGCAATATCAATAAAAATTATAAGAAATCAAAGTTATACTAATATTTAAAAACACTTTAAATGCACCCAAATTTTCCCTACTGTTGAGTGTGTGCATGCATGTGTATATGAGCCTCTCAATGAAATAGAAACATTGATTTTCCAACTTTTCTCTTCCTTTGCTTGTTTTAATAAGCATTCCATCATGTGATTCCTCATACCAGTATCTTGAAGTGACCTAATCTAGAAAAAGAATTGATTTAAATAAATGCATAAAGTGATTTCTATTCTTGAGATTATCCCTGGATCCAGCTATAGCAATAGCATTTAGACTTATAAATCACCCCATAGTGCTTTACAGCAGGGGTCCCCAATCCATGGCCTGGTGCCGAGTTGTGGCCCAGTAGGAATGGATGAGCATGTGAAGCTGCATTTGTGGAAGTGACGCCCACGCAAAACCATCCCTTCTCCCCACTGCTAACCACCGCCACTGGCGCTGGTCCACAGAGCTGGAAAGGTTGGGGACTGCTGCTTTACAGCACTCTCTGGGCAGTTTATAATGTCAGCATATTGCCCCCAACCAACTGGGTCCTCGTTTTACCAACCTTGGAAGGGTGGAAGGTGTCAACTTCAAGCCCTGTTGTGATCAAACTACTGGATAAGGGCAGAGTTGCCTGCATTCTAACCACTCCGCCACCAGGGCTCAGCTATACTGGCTATCTATTGCATAGTTCCTACCTATTTCTGAGAAGTTGGCATTACTTCAGCAAAAAAAAAATGTTCTGGATCATTTTCAGTTAGGTTTCAAGTCAGGGTATGACATCTAAAACAGGAACAGTCACTCACTGTGGTAGATAATCTCTGCCACAATCTGGACGGTGGAAGAGCACTCATCACGGTCCTCCCTGACTTCTTGGTTGCTCTTGATACTATCAACCACAGTATCCTTCTGTGGTTGATTTAGAGCAAAACAAAAGAGCAAAATTAGATTATTTGCTCTGCTCTTACCTAAGTGGGCAATTCCAATCCATGTAAGTGGGGAAGGAGAAGAAGTCAGCTACTGTAGGATTAAATCCTCTTCTCCTCTGTATCTATATGAGGCTATTGAAAAACTCATCAATCAGTTTGGGTAAGGCACCATCAATATGCTGGTTGTTCATTGTCACCCTTGGACTGAACTGGATATGTCACAGCTTTGAGGGTTTAGAGAGAGAAACTAAGCTTGAACTCAAACCAGATGAAGCTGTGTTTGTCCACAAGCCATTTTGCTGGTCCAAATGTTACTTTACATGGGATGACACTCCCTCAGAAATATCTGGTCTATAACTAGAGTGTTCTTATTGAATGATGCTACTGCTGAAAGAAGTGATTAAGAAGACTTCGCCTAGCTTTGGCTGGTGCAACCTCTACCTGAAGTGGAAGGTCCTACAATAGTGACTCATGGAAAGATCATGATTAGATTACTGCGATGTATTTTATATGGGGCTATAACTTCAAGGTTACCCAGAAGCTGCAACTGTTGCCAAACACAGCTGCCTGAGCAGTGGTGAGTGGGAACAACTATTGCTATGGGGCTTATAGTGTACTGGGGGCACTGAACTAGCTTTCAATAGGTTTCTGTATAAAATTTAAAGTGCAGATTTGTATTTTTATGGCCACAAATATCTTGGCTCCTAGGTTCTTATAGAACACATGAAGGCTCCGAAATGGTGCTTTCCTGTCCTGGCTTTGTATAGCAGTCTCCCATCAGGAGTCAAATTGGCAGAAACCCTCATTTCTTTTTTGGAAAGCTGCCAGAATGGAGTCATTCTGCAGTCTCTTTGAAAACTCACATTGTCCATTGCTAGATTGATGCTGCTGGTATGTGTTATGATTATTGTTTCTTTACTTTTACTTCTGCTATAATCAGCAGAACTGTTTTTAACTGTTTTTATCTGTTTTAATATCCCTTATGAATGTAAACTGACATGAATCGTATGATTTTGGTGATGTATAAACAAAATAAATAAAATTCAAAAATTACTATTTGAACCACAGCTCACCAGAAGAGACTGAACTTATACAGATATCATTTTAAATTGTCCATGAAATATTCATATAATTTGACTGTAATGAAACAGCAGCTTTTTTGATAATTTGTTAACTTCCATACTCACCACTGATGTTTATTGCTGGTAACACTATTGACATCTTTGGTCGCCTGGTCTTATTGTGCGTGGTGGCAGGTAACAACAGATGATCCTAAAAAATACATTACAGATATTAAGTTGTACTGGTGACTTTTAAAATGTGAAAAAATTATGTAAAATAAAATTAAAACCAATACAAATACCTAATTAAAGAACGCTTGACCCACTGCTGTATTTCTGTATATATTCCAGGTACATGTATTTTCGGGAGCTAGCATTAAAAATAAATCCCACACCAATTCAGCATGTAAATTGCATTTGAGGTAAGAATTCAAACTTGCGTAGCTGCTTCCATAAAAATATCATAGTTGAATACAGCCATCAGGAAAGACTGAACTAGCTTGTTTCTGCCTCCTTTGGATTATATTTTTTTAATTATAGTATTAGTGAAGTATTCTTGCATTTTTAAAACAAACCCTAATATTCAGAGTGCCACATTCCCATTTGGATTACAAAACAAAACTCTTGCCACAAATAGTTCACAATCTGAATGTCCACCATTCAGATTGTCCGTTTTATCCACCAAATCTTCACCCATCATTACTATTCATGATTCTATTTATTTTTAATTGAAACAATAGCTTTATCATGGTTTCTGGCTTTCATGTTGATGTGAGGAGTTAGCATTTAATTTTTAACTACCTCTCGCTTTTTAATTAACTGCAGTTTACTGAATATTCTTTATTCCCTGCTTCTTTTACTGCTACATTTTAAAAAGGTAAGCTAAAGGAGTCCCTGTGGATTTTAAGACACTAGTCATTGCTGACTACAGGGGCAGTACTCATCTCTTTTTCAAGGAGATTAAGCCAGTGCTGTCCAAAGTTATTTCCACAGTCATGTGGCCAGTATTACATCATGGAGCGCTGTTACCTTTCCAATGAAGTGGTACCTATTTATCTATTTGCATTTGCATGCTTTCAAACTACTAGGTTGGCAGGAGCTGGGGCAGGATGGGAGCTTAACCCATCACATGGCACTTGGGGTCTTGAACCTGGGCTGCTAGCTTTCCAGCCGCCAAGCCCAGTATCTTAACTGCTGAGCCACCATGCTACCCCATTACATTATAATGTTTTAAATCATTAATTTTAACTTACAACGTACATCAATCTATACATTGTATAAATATAAATTAATTTATATTAACAGACATCTCACTGGCTCAAGGTTGACTCAGCCTTCCATCCTTCCGAGATCGGTAAAATGAGGACCCAGATTGTTGGGGGCAAGATGCTGATTCTGTAAACCGCTTAGAGAGGGTTGTAAAGCACTGTGAAGCAGTATATAAGTCTAAGTGCTATTGCTATTGCTATCTTAAGCTTCCCAGATGGCATGTAAGAGTTATTTTAACTAAAAATGTGGTTAATTAAAAAAAACCCACCATGCTACAAAATAGTGATTACTGTATTTAGTCTCAAGAACCTTTGAAGCTAAATGATCAAAAGAAGGAGTGCGAATCTTGAAAACAAATGTGGCATGAAATTTAGTGGAGCTTTGCTTAATAGGAACTTTCTGTTGCTCTTCCTTGTTTAGATGCTACTGTGGAAATAAGTCTACAATGTGTAGCCTTTGCTAGTATCCTTCAACAGCTAACAAAATCTGTACTTTAACTTGATTAAAGAAACATACTGCCTTGGATTGAATTTAGAATGTACAGAGCATTGTGCTCAGAAGATTACTGAACTAGAGGATAGCCATGACAAAAATTGGAGCACAGTCTAATTTGGCAACATCATCTTTCCAGTCAGATAGTTTTCCAACCATTATGCCAGGCACTGAGTTTTAAGCTTTCTCTTGGATTGTCATTCCATCACAGTAAAAGTGTTGGCTCAGAGCTATAAAGTCATCTGCTCTGGAGTCTAACTTGCTTTGATTTATTTTGTCTTTAGATGACACTTCACATGAAAAGATCAGATGGTGGGTTTTTAAGGTTCATATTTCCATTTTTACCATATAACTTACTATTATTAACAATAAATTTAGGTATTTTGTATCTCAAATACTAAACTGCCAATTAATAATGCTTTACTTTCTTTCTCTTACTACTTTGGCAATAATTGAGAAACTCAATGAAATATGAGTCTTTTTTCTTATAATCCAAAACCATGGATGAAGAAAGGATTCAAATTTTTTTTCCAGATAGTTAAATTCACCCATATGTATTAGGCCACATTAACTATCAGATATGCCACATCAAAATGCATAAAATTATGGAGACAGTAATATATTTTATTTTGACAAATTCAGTTACTTAAATGCATCTGTTTGCTTTAATTTGACAGAGACTCAAAGATACCACTTACATATAAATTAATACAGCTGCAATATGACATCCTATCTTTTTCTACTCTGAACACCAAATTCCTTGATACAACTTTTTCAGAATCACTTAGTAAAAATAACCAAAAAGACACAAAAAGTATTTAGTGACTTCCTCCTAAGTAGATCATCATGGAGAAAATCTATCTATGTGGGTCAAGTTGAAAATGACTTGATGGCACATAATCATCTCTTTAATATTTAGGAAGACAGATGCTTCCCTTGATAATTTCCCTTTAGCATTAGGAGGTGGCACAATAAAGACTGCATGAATGAGAAAAATGGCAAACTGTTTAAGGACAGCTTTTCCAAATCTTCTACTGGCCACTTCCTATTATTTATTTATTTATTTATTATTTATTTATTTATTATTTAAATTTATATACCGCCCTTCTCCCGAAGGACTCAGGGCGGTGTACAGCCACAAATAAAAACATAAAAATATAAAATTTAAAACAATTTAAAAGTATATTAAACAAATTTGGCCCATATTAATTAAAAAACCCTTTTTTAAAAAACGAATTAAAAACAATTAAAAGAGCTACGCCAGCCCAGCTTGCTGGAATAAAAAAGTTTTGAGGGCACGGTGGAAGGTGCGTAGATCCGGGATCCTTCGTATCTCTGGGGGCAGCTCATTCCAAAGGGCAGGTGCCCCCACAGAGAAGGCTCTCCCCCTGGGGGCCGCCAGTCGACATTGTTTGACCGACAGCACCCTGAGGAGCCCCTCTCTGTGGGAGCGTACTGGCCAGTGGGAGGCTACCGGTGGCAGAAGGTGATCTCGTAGTTATTCAGGTCCTAGGCCATGGAGCGCTCTAAAGATGGTAACCAATACCTTGAAGTGCACCCGGAAGACCACCGCAAGCCAGTGCAGCTCGCACAGGAGAGGTGTTACATGGGAGCGCCACGGCGCTCCGACAATCACCTGCGCAGCTGCATTCTGGACCAGTTGGAGCCTCCGGGTGCTCTTCAAGGGGAGCCCCATGTAGAGAGCATTACAGAAGTCCAGGCGGGAAGTGACTAGGCCATGGATTTTCCCCCTGATTGATTGATTGATTAATTGATTAGATGTATTCGCTAACAGAACTTCTTATTCTGCGAGACTCCCCCCTCTCGCAGGTGTGGCCCTCCACTTTATCAAGGGCCTACCTTTATGACGGGCGTTGGCACCCCGAGAGGTGGCATGTCGCAAAAAGGGGATTGAGGGGTTTTTTAGGGAAACTTTTTGATAGGTTTTTAAGGGATTTTAAGGGAAGGGAGGGTTGTGTGGGTTTGGGGGTTAACCCACGGGGGGAGGGATCCGGTCCAACTGTTAGTGGGGCCACGTTCTGTCGAGGGCCTTTCTATCAATGTGTTGAGTGGGAGGGGCAGATATGGCGGGAGCAGGGGGCCATATCATGTGGTGGGGGTACGCACTCGCTATCTTCGAGCGGTGGCGCGCCCCGGTCCCCAAAGCCCTTCTCGCACCCCAGGCTGTTCAGACTCTCAGGGCCCGAGCCTTCGGCTGTTGTTATGTAATGCCAGGTCCGTGGTAAATAAAGCCCCCCTCATTTGCGATCTTATTCGGGGGGGGAGCGGACCTGGCAGGTATCACGGAGACCTGGTTGGGCCAGGAGGGGGGAGTGCCCCTCGTAGATATGTGCCCACCAGGCTTCCGTGCATTCCATCAGCCGAGAGCTCAGGGCAGGGGCGGGGGGGTGGCGGTTATTATAAAGGAAGGTCTTGATCCGAGGGAGACCACTGTGCCACAGATAGCCGGATGTGAGTCCCTTTTTGTGAAGTGGGGCCGTGGAGTACAGATGGGCTTGTTGATCATGTACCTGGCTCCCTGCCGCGTGGCAATGGCCCTGCTCGAGCTGCTCAACGTCATAGCTGAGGTGGCGGTTGGTACCCCCAGACTTCTAGTCATGGGGGATTTCAACCTGCCATCCGTCGGCGAAACGTCTGAGGTGGCTCGAGAGTTCATGGCTTCCATGACGGCCATGGACCTGACCCAGTTAATTCATGGCCCTACCCACACAGGGGGAAACACACTGGACCTGATTTTTGTCTCTGGACAGTGGTTGAGTGATCTTGAGATAGGGGATATAGTCACCAAGCCCTTGTCATGGTCGGATCACTCTCTCCTTCGCCTTGACCTTCGAACCGCTATACCCCATCGCAGGGAGGCAGAGCCGGTAAGATGGTTCCGCCCCAGGCACCTGATGGAACCTGATAGATTCCAGATGGAGCTTGGGCCATTTCCTGAGACCCTGGCTCATGATTCGGCTGAAGACCTAGTGGCCGCTTGGGACAGTGCGGCCGCCGGGGCTTTGGACCGCGTCATGCCTTTGCGGCCTCTGACCCGGCACCGAACTCACCTAGCTCCTTGGTTCTCCGAGGAGCTGAGGGAGATAAAGCGCCGGAAAAGACGCCTGGAGAGTAGTTGGAGGACCAGCCGCTCCGAAACTGACCGAACACTGGTGAGGTCTCATATTAAGACCTACCTAGTGGCAATAAAAGCGGCAAAATCTAGCTATTTTGCCGCTCTTATCGCGTCATCAGATAATCGCCCAGCCGCCCTTTTTAGGGTGACCCGCTCCCTCCTCCATCTGGAAGCGCGGGATGATCCCTTGCAGGGCCGAGCTGAGGACTTTGTGCAGTATCTGCATGACAAGATCGCTCAGATTCGGGAAGGCCTGGCCTCTGACTGGGTAAGTCCAGACGGGATGACTGAGGCAGGTCTTGAGAATGGTATCT